AAACCCAGCCCCATACTAGGTACTGTGAAGAAAATTAACTCTATCCCAGCTGAAACCAGGACACTGACATTCAAAAAAGGTGTAATAATTTCAGTAAGAATTTGCTGAATTCTGGTTGCTGTGGTGAAAAAAGGGCAAAGGGATTGGTCAAATTTAGTTTGTATAATTTTAATATCCTGTTGGGCAAATGCAGGAAGCATATAAATGACGTTGGTGCCAATACGAGATAAAGCTCTCTGAATAAAAATAACCCTTCTTTATAAAACTGTTGCCTTCATTTTGTTAAAAAACTAACTCGCTGAGCTTTGCTGCCTGAAGTTCAGAGTATTGTCAATACCGAGCCCTGACTGCATTTCATAAACCTGGGTTGTAAGTCAAGAGCTCTAGCTGGGAAAGCAGAAAGCAAGGAGAGCTAGTGGGATGTCTCAGCTGTGAATACACAGCAGAGCCCTCGGGAGCCTCCTCTGTAAAAGGCAGCATGGTGAGGGCATGTAACGCTACTGAAAAGGGCTGTTTCCATCATGCTGCTCAAAAGCTTCCTATTTGTCCCCAAAAGGCATCGCCGCAGGCTGGCTCATCCCTAGGGCTCCCTTGGCAGTGAGGGGTGAGCCGGAGCCGGGCACAGCGGCGGTCTCGGTGATGTTGGTGTCTCTTTTCTGCAGGTCAGACCAAGCCCAAAGCTGTTCAGCAGACAAGGAATGGTACCCAGGGAGCAACCACTGCTGGTGCCTGCACACCAGAGCTGAAGCCAGGCTGGCAAAGGTGGCCCAGCTCCCTTTTCTGTGCAGGATCCCAGGATCTGATTCAACCGGACAATCTGGATCATGGAGGAAGAAGTGTGAGCAGTGTGCTGGGCTTGGTGCGTACTGTCAACCTCAGCACACATCTGCTCATGGTGTCCACCTGGTGACATCCAGTCCCTTCCCTTTCAGCCTGCCACCACTCAGCCACAGCTGCGTATGGCCCTATTTCTCCCAAACACTCTTCTAGCTTGCAACAGTTTGCAACTCAGACCTCTGCTTAAAACCCTTTGCTGCATTTCTCTTCCCAGAACTTGTCCAGTTCCTCTTTGGCAACCACAAGATCCCGAGATTACTTCCACAGCTCAGCTATACGCTGCATCAAGAACCACCCTGCCCGTGTTCATCCTGAACCTGCCATCTGGGCTTCCTATGACCTGCTGTAGTGGGCGTCCTCTAGACCAGGACCTGTGCTTGCTCCGAAACGAGGTCTAGAAACTGTCCCCAAATCCTGTCCACCTCTTCCTGATACGGCCTCAGTCTTACTGTGGCACTGCCAGTAATGCCCTTCAAAGGATTCCCTCCTGCTCCTCAAGACCCCGGCACAGATCCAGACATCACTGTGAGCCACAGAGAGGGGTTTATCTCCCCCTTTCACCAGAGGACTGCAGATTCAGTGGTTCTTGGCACTGTCTGAACCTACCCCCAGACCCTGGGAGGTCACCTCTAGTCTCTGGGATGCTGGAACAGGAGGTGTCACCCTGACGTGCCCAACACGCAACTCCTAAGTTTCAAAGCAAGCATCTTACCAGAACTGGCTGCCCAGAGGTGTGCCGAGGAGGAGGAAGAGGTGAGGAAGCCAAATTCCTGGCAGACATTCCTCAATACGCAGGCAAGGGTTCTCCAAGAAATCCAAACGCAGCTCCACAGCAAGGGAAACGGTCCAACTCCCACGGACGGAGTCACTTGAAATTGCCTATGGCACAAGTCATACAAACAGCCTTCTCTAAAAGCACCTGGCTTCTTAAATAGGAAAACCAAGGTGCGTGAACTGCAGCAACCCTCCCCAAGGAAAGCAGAGGAGGGCTGTTCGGATCCTTCTTTGCAGCCTCCACTCCCTGAGCAGGTAAGTTAGGTGATTTAATTCTCCAGACAACATCTACATGAAAACTTTCCTTGCTCCAGAGGTGTCAAAAGCTGAGATCCATCCCCCTCATCTTACAAACACACATGGCAACCTCACAAGTTGAGCGTGAAGTGGCAAACGATTTTATTATACAGTTAGTAAAAGGCTTTTTTTTCTTTTTTTTTAAAGATTTGCAGGGACATAGTTCCCTCCTGCAGGTTCACCTGCTGATTACGCGTTTAAAGTGCTACATTACAACTGTGAAAATACCGGCTCTTCACAGCAGAGAACTGAACGTATGCTTTTATTGAGTCTGAAGTGGTGATAAACCAGCTGTTTCACAAGAGTGATTCGACGTGAAAAGGCAAAGCGTACAAGCCATTGCTAAAAAGTAGTGGGAAAATACGTGAAGAACTTTGCAGGCAACTAAAGCATCAGAGAAGAGGGCCTTGGTACGGATGCTGCTGGTTTGGGATCTCACGGACGTCCTCTGAATCACGCAGAAAGTGTGTGGAGAAGGCATGTGCCCCCCTCTAATGAATTTTGAGATGGATTCTGCAGTATGGTTACGCAGGCTCACGTACTCTGCTTTACTTCTGCTTTATTTTGGTGCAATATTCAGTAATAAACACGAGCCTTTGAACAAGGTGAAAAGATTTGGGGAGATTTCCTTATCCGCTGCAAATAAAGAGTAATTCTCAGGGCTGAAAACTGCAGCTTTCATGGGGAGGTGACAGGTCTGTACAAAGCCCTCACTGACAAAATTACGAAAACTGAGGAAAAAAAACAGCTTACTGGGGACCGCTGATGGGGAATCCCGGGTTCTTCTCCCTGCTTGCAGGGAGGTTTTGGACAAGTCACCACGTTATCTTCAAATGGAGAGAACAGCCCCCACGTTCCCCCTCCCAGCAGCAGAGGTCAAGTGTATTTAAAAGCACTGTCCCTTCCTCTGACGGATAAAGAACCAGGCACTGAGCAAGCGATGAACATCTCCAGTTCACCTGGAAAGCAGCCCTGTCAGATCAAAATAACACCTCACTATTGCATATATTTATTGTCCTTATCGTTTAAGGGAGGCACTTCTTGCATTTTTGGGCAAAGGGAAAGTGTTAGGAAGGAGGAGCAGCCGTTCACCCTGTCATGGGCTGACGGACCCTTCCCACTGCAGGCCGAGCTCCGGGCACGACGACTGTACTTTGCAGCCAGGCGCCGGGAAGCTCATCTCCCTGCTGCTCCCCTGCCAGCAGGAAGGTCGTATTTCGGGAAGCTGTGCCGAACGGCAGGAATCCAGGAGGAATAAGTTATTGGACACAGTAAAGCAGGGAAGAAGCTACAGCCTGGATTAGGAGTGCAGCCCAGCTGTCAGCTTCAGGCCACCGCAACGGTTTAAAGTCCACGGCATCCTTGCGGACTCACCGGATTCGAACCGTGCCAGCCCATGGCACGAGCCTTCTGCTGTGCACATCCACCACCACCAGATCACCAAACATTTTGCCCAGTCCTGCCTCCTGCCACAGCTCCCCTCTTGCCTCCCCAGCAAATCATGGCACGGTGGGAACACCTGAAAGTCTGCGCTGGCGTCTTTAGAGCTTAAAAAAAAAAAAGAAATCCTCTAGCTACAATAACCCTCTAACTACAAAAAAAGTAGCTTTGTTACTTTTGTGCCCCTGTGCTTTTGGGAGGGAGTAGATGAGATAGCAAACAACGTGCAGCTGCAGCGACAGAAGCAGGCAGCACGGCTGGGGATCACTAAACTCTGCCTAGAGCTAGAAACGTGTGCCAACAGTCACTGAGCAGGGTCACTTCTGCCCCTGAGAGCTGCCCCGGGCAGGGGGAAGCCGGGAATATTTATTTGCATTTGAGGATTTTATCTTAGAAATCTTGCAGCCCAATCCCCTCGCACTCCAAGCTAATCCCTGGGGATAGCAGGGAAATTATGGGCTGCAGTTTTAAACAGGACCTTCAAAATAACCCACAGCATCTCAATCACTGGGTATGGCCTCCCTGCAGTGCACAGAGTTAATCCTATTTGTGTCCCAGCCTGGACACAAGTTTCCTATATTCCTATCCCATAGCACCAGGTATCAGGAAAGGCTAGAACTACATCCACCCTCGTAGCCAGGCTCTAAAAATACAGCCTAAAGATTAAAGACACCCAAAAATCCTGTTGGAACCAAGTCCACTTAATGCTGGCATTGTGTGAAATGTTCCTCTTAAAGCATAATCCCCCTTTCCCTGGCTGGAGGGGGGTGAAATGAGGTTGATCCTTAAGAAAACTGGTTCGATGTGGCTCTTTCCTGACCCTCAGCTTCATCCCCAGGGTGTCAGTGCTGCATGAAGCGACCCCAGAGCCCATCCCTGATCCTCGGGACCAGGGGAGGATGCTCCAAAGCAAAGCACCGAAGCAGGACGACATCTCCCGGGGAGAGGGGAAAGCTTGCACGCGGTCTGGCCTGGCACGTTCTCATCTCGAGGGCATCTCTTGTCACGAATGAGCAGAAGGCAGCGCGACTCGGTGCACCGGGGTCCTGCCCGTGCACCCAGCACTGGGGGAAAGGAACAGAGATGAGCCAAGGTCCCAGCAGCAGAGCTGGAGACGCCAAGTAAGGCAAATTCAACGTAAGGCGCCTGGTAAGGCTGCTGCACAGACCCTCGGGCACGTTTTCAAGCCAAGATGAAGAGAGCCAACAAAATCAGCTTCACTTTTACAGGATGTCCGCAAAACCTCTCCTCGCTGCACTGCCCGGAGGGACCCAGAGGGTCGCCCTTTGGACCACCACGACATGTTTCCCTGGTGCCTCCTGGAACCAAACAAGGAAGACGTGGAGAATCGCCATGAGGACTTTCTTTTTTGACTGAAGGGATTACTCCCTGAATGAGACCCTCTCTATGGGTGTAAAACGAGAAGGCTACAGACAAGAAGATGGTTGGGAAATGGGGGGGGAACAGACCCAAACCCAACAGCATCACGCAACCAAGGCCTCTTCCAGCAAAACTTTCCAGAAAGAGATTTAACAATGCCCCTACCGCCCCCCCCGCTGCTCTTCAGGCTTCAAATACGTTGGCCAAATTCCTGCTACGAAGAGGAATCACCCAGGCTGAGTGACGGTCGTGGCATCCCATCCACTCCAGCGCTATTTCTGGAATCGAGCGTACACCAGAAACGCCACAGCTGAAATCAGAGCGATGCCCACAGCTGGAACGATGTATGGCAGGGATGGTCCGTTGCTGTCCCCTGGGGGGACTTTGGCCTGAGATATGCTGGTCGCATTGCCACGGCCCCTGCTAGAGTCAAAAACTGGAGAGTTTCCAAGGGGACCGGCTCCGTCTTGGAGATCGCTGCTTGCCCCGAGCTGGGTGCTGGGGTAATGGTCCACGCGGACCTCGTGGGTGCCCAGGGAGGTGCTGTCCCAGCTCGGAGGTGGATGGGAGTCTCTGCTTGCTCCAGCTGCCTCCTCTCCCCCAGGGTCTTCACGAGCCGCTGGAGCCGGGCATCCCAAGGAGGCTCTGGAGAGCGTTTCTCCGGAGCTCGAGCTATCTGTGCTCACCAAGAGTGGGTCGCTGCTGAAGGTGAGGCTATTGGATGCCCTGGAATAGGGGCCGCTGCGCCCCTGAGAGCTCGGGCATCTGCCGGCCGCCTCTGGGCTCTCCCCAGCCATGGAGAGAAGGACGCCTGGCTTGCTGAGCTCCACATCCCTCTCCACGTTGCTGCAAGATGCCCAGATGCTCGTGGCAGAGCTCACCTGGGAGGCTGTCCTCCCAGACGTGCCTTCAGAGCTTCCTGCAACTGTCAGATGAGGGTCCGCCGAGGCCAGGAGCACCTTTGGGAGACAACGAGAGGGGCTGGGTGCCATGGGGAGCAACCATTTGGCCTGGTCTCAGGCACCCTTGTCACGCGACAAGCCCACTTCAGCGCTCAACCACCACATCTCCAACCACTAACAGTGACGTTGGGTCACAGCTAACTCCCAGGGCTGGGAGAATGAGCAGGGCAGGGAGGTGTTGGGGCTCCAGGGAGCCTTTGGGATTTGGGGGAGATACGGGAAGGAAGGAGGGGGAGACAAGAAGAGAGGAGAGAAGTGGAAACAGGCACCTGGAAGCCAGGAGACTGACTGGTAAGTCAAGGTGGGGAAATAAGGAGGCAAAGCCCAACAAACCTTGGCTCCCTTCTCCCATGCTCCAAAATACAGCGTCTGGATGGGGACGTGAACACAGTGGGGAAAAAAGCCCTGAATAAACTCGCCACCAGCTCAAAATCTTACACTGCAGCAGAAAATCTCCCGACCAGGGGGAGTTCACAAGGACCTGAACGAAATGCAAGTGGCAACGGGAAAGGTCACCTACTTTCTCCTTCGTCGGCATGGAAGGGGTGCTGCTGGCCGTCTCTCCCGTGGGCAGATTTTTCTCTTGTACAGGAGGCTTCAAGGAGGTGTCGCAGGATGGGGGAGCGTCTCTGGGCGCAGGGGTAGCGACCAGGGTGGTTGTTTCCATCCAAGTGTCTGTCGGGGAGAAAACAAAACATATTGCGTTAATCAGGAGACCTAAAAGGTGAGTTTTGCTCTTCCTCAAGGATGCTGCAACAGAATACTCCCAGAGCTGAGGAGGTCGCAGAGGGAGCAGGACCCAGCGCCGCTGGGTGCTGCCCGCGTGGCCCTGGCTCTGCCGCGGCACCCGAGCTCTCCCAGTAGGTGCAGGTAAACCAGACGGCACCAGCCAAGCCAGCACCCCCAATCTGTTCCTCCCTTTGAGAGCGGGGTGGCCCCAGGCTGCTGAAATGAGGGTGCAGACACTCAACTGGGGTGTTTTACATCAGAAATGAAGCAAGCGCCTCTGCCAAGTCCTGGTCAGGATGTTGTGCCAAAATACAGTGAGCAACAACTGGAGGGAAAACCAGGGGAAAACAAGCAGCCAGGCTGGATTTCTGCAAAACCCAACCTCGCTCCTTTCCTGGAGGAGGTCCCTGCAGCCCAGGAGATGGGAGAGATGGGTAACAACAGCACAGAGAGCTGTTCT